CTGTCACACTCCTGTTTGGGTGGTGCCTCTCAAAGAAGTCCTGGCACTCGGTCCATTTCTTTGAGATGGATTTTATCTACTCGCTGCTAGCCTGTGGTGCCTCTTCCTCTTCCACAGTGGAAAGCTCCTTCACAAAAGCCTTCTGCTGTTCAGTTTGCAGTTCTGCAAATTCTTCTGTGGTCAACTCCTCTTCGTTGTCTTCCACCAGCTCCTCTACATCCTCCTCATCAACATCCAGACCCATGTCTTTCACCCATAGAGAGGATGTCCCTCACCGTTCATCAGTCACTTCATTGCCACTGTCTGTGGCACATTCCGGCCACAGTTTTCTCCAGGCTGAGTTCAAGGTCCGAGTTGCGAGATCTTGCCAGGCCTTGTCAGTGCATCTGATGCTGTGGAGGACATTGAAATGTGCCTTCCATAACTCTTTCAAGGTCAAGGATGTATCTTCATTGATAGTGAAGAGTGCCTTTGTGTACTGCTTCTTGAAGTTGCTGATCACTTGCTGGTCCATGGGCTGCAGAAGAGGTGTTGTGTTGTGGTGGAGGAACTTGACCCTGATGAAATCCTCATTGAGATCATCCACCAAGAATGGGGTGTGTGCCGGGGCGTTGTCCATCAGCAGGAGGCACCTTTCAGAAATCTGCTTGTCCAAAATATATTTCTTGACAGTGGGGCAAACACTTCATAGAGCCATTCCAGCAACAGCTGTCTTGTCATCCAGGCTCTTGAGTTGGCCCTCCTCATGACAGGCAGTGTGGCCTAGTTAACTTTCTCTCGGTGGAATGGGTAAGGAGTCTGAGAGTGGTGCACCAGCAGAGGCTTGATCTTCTGGATGGAGTGGAGTTACTCTCTCACATAATTTTGTATTCTGCATTCTATACAGATCTCTGCCAAAAAATTTAGATTCATTTTTGGCTGTGGTCACACCAGCAAAATATAACTCCTTGTGAGTTTTGATCTTTTGGGGGAGTGTTTAGATGACTCATGGCCATTACAGATTCTTTTGTTCCCCCTCTCTGCTATCTCTGCATCAAATCCAGCCCATCTGGAGGCTACTACTATATCTGTTCCATGTTTCATTGTGCAGTTCAACCAAAATTCCATAGAATAGTTACTACAAAACCAATTCATTTCCTTTACATCTGGCATGCAGTCCCACCACCACCACTGACTATTGTTTGACTCCCTTAATTTTTTAAAATTTCAAACAGGAGTGTCAACACTTTGGTATGCTTCTCTCAAAAGAGCTGTGGGTTCTCCACCACTGAGAGCAACATAGCGCGGAAACAGGAAAAAATGCCCCAAATCAATACATAGCCAGCAAAGGCGTTTTGACAACACATTGATGTACCCATATTTTTTTAAAGGGGAGAAAAGAAAGCAGAGAAACACATAGAGGAAGGAATATGCCTTGCTCTAGGGGTGTAGATGAACGTACCACATCTAAATAAATAAATAAAATATGAAAGAGTCAAAAAAACATATGAACCACTATCATAGTATATATGTTATACGACCACAACGTGCGACTCTACAGGAAGCAGAAGATGCAAGAAAACAAGAAGAGGGGCTGTGACATACTGAGATATATTCTGTGAAAAACAGAGAGTTATAGTGGAGAATGTGGCAGCCTTTTTGAACCAGATAGTGAGGAGCTGCAGATTTGTAGATCCAGTTAAATTTGTATATCCGGTTAATTAATAGTTTGTTGTTATCTTGTATATGTGATTTTTTTGGTTTGCCCATAAAGACTCTGATTGACTGATTTTAATATTAATGGTAATTTATTCATTTTCTTGTTCTAAGTGTCTTAGACACATTCTAAAAATGTTTTGGAACACTTAGTTTTTAAACTCATAATACACCAACAGAATACGCCAAACTGATTTTGAAAGTAAGTTTATTTCTACTATCTGCTGACTCACTTCAGCAACAATTCACTCCAATAGTCATAATTCTTAATACCTTACAAGTTTTTGTTTTTTGAGACAAGCAACCTGATAAAAGAGTGATTTGATTTTAAGAGGTACTTTAGTAATTCTGCATTTCACACATGACTAAATAGAAGTGAATTAACATGTACAAATTAAATAAAACACTATTTACAGCAAATGTTCTATATGTGAAATATCCTGAGATAAAAAGTTGACAACAGTAACATATGAGGCCAATTATATAAGGGAATAAGAGTCTGAAACACCTTATAAGGTTCCATAAAGCTAAATGTCTTTGAACTAGGTCAAACACTCAAGTAGAGGCTGAGATAGAGCTATCATCCTTCAATTCTTCAGCTCTCTATACCAGAGATCATCAACCCCCAGTTTGCAACCTGGCGCCGGTCCGTGGTCTGAGCCAGCCCAGCCCGTGAAGACAGACCTCCGTCCCCCCTCCCGCAGGCACTCTCCTCCCCATAGCTACTTTGCACATGTGCGTGTGTGCACAAAGCACAGGGAAAGGCACAGATCCCAACCAAGGAAGGAGGGTGATGGGTGGGGAAAAGAGAACTGGGTCCTCACAAATCTGAAGCAGGCAGGCAACATCAACCTAAGAAATGCACTCAATGGAGAAGCCAGTGAAGGGGGTGGGGATGGGCCGTAGAAGCAGCAACTTCCCCCCAGTGGAACGGCATGGCAGCCAACTAGCGGGGCTGGCCAATTGGGAATGGCACGGGCCGGGAGTGAATGCCTTGAATCCTTGCAAGAGGGGAAGGGGCACATCACAGCTGATTGTTTCTCGCCAGAGCCATGGGTTTGAGGCGTGGCAGTGGGTGGAGGCACGAGTGAGCAGCTGGAGGCAGTGTTGCTGCTGCCTAGCTAGACCGGGGATGCCCGAGGAGCCAGAGATGCCCATGAAGACAAAGACCTCCCTCACAGCCTTGGGGTATGTGCTGAGGAGGAATGGGAGATGATGATGGTGGCAGAGGGGCCCCAGCACAGCCACCCCTCCTGCCTGTGCCCGGCAGTCCATTGTGAATGCGCACCCGTGGGGGGGGGACCGCTTTCTTCAGAGGCTCAGGTAGTCCGCAGTCTGACAAAGGTTGGGGATTGCTGCTCTATACTACCTGAAATACTACTTTGGAGAGTTCTGCACCCTTTCAGAATCAGTTCTGAGGTTGGATGAAAGTGCTACAGTGGGAAGAGGGTATCATTCCCCTCTCTGTTTTACTAGATCCAGTCCTTCAGCCAGTAAAATGTTCACTAGAAATTGCCCCACAATCATTAAACTGATTTTCTCCCTGTGAACCAGAAAGACTTTCTTAAAGAAGAAATCTGGGGAGAAACTCTGTGTAAGTAAGTAAGGCTCAGCAACACTCAGAAATCAGTGAAACATGTTAAAATTAATTTATTATCTTTTTAATATACCGCATTTCCCCAAAAATAAGACAGGGTCTTATATTAATTTTTGCTCCAAAAAACACATTAGGGCTTATTTTCAGGGGATGCTTTATTTTTTTCGTGTACAATCTACATTTATTCAAATACAGTCATGTCATCTTATTGTTGCTGCACAATGGTGGAGGGGGGGTTCACTTAACTGGGGCTTATTTTGGGGGTAGGGCTTATATTACGAGCATCCAGAAAAATCATACTAGGGCTTATTTTCAGGTTAGGTCTCATTTTGGGGGAAACAGGGTAACTGTATTTAAAATAAAAATTTATGTGGAGGAAAAAGTTTTCTTACAGTGAATTCCTATTTAACATGTAGGTTCTGTAGGTATTTTACATTTAATATCTATAGTCTTCTGCAAGACTTTGCTTCTCTGTGTTAGTACTTAATTGTTATGGCATATACAGCTTTGGGTTTATCCAGGTTGGACAAAAGTTCTTCCCTAGCTGGTCACTGTCGGTTCTGGTTCAGCACAAAGGGCAATAGAATTCATGAGAATTCATGTCCAAACTGCACTGTGAATGTCACAGCTTTGAGAACTACTTCTTTTCTAGAAATCCTTGAAGTAAACCTTAGAAATAAACTTGCGTGCAGGAACTTCACTTCTGGAGCAGTTTCTGGAAAAAAAACACATAACTTCTGTGCATATTTGTAACCTAACTGAAACCTTACTCTGATTGGAAATGAAGGCCAAGGAACAAATCCATGAAACAAATAAATGATGACTTTAGCAGAGAAAAAAGGAGGAGGAAGGGGAGGAGGAGGAGGGAAGGGGAAAAGGCACTGATGATCTCAAATTAAGCCTTATGTCATGTGGATGATCATTTTTATCCAACTTAAAACTAACTATTCAGATCTCCATACTTTTACAGGAACTTTTCCCCTTATTCATTCATTCATTCATTCATTCATTCATTTGTACACCACCTTTATCTTAGCAAAGAGATCCAAGGCAGATTACAATGCCAAAACAAATAGTACTAAAAACACAATAAATTACGGATTGAAAAGCTATTAAACTACAATAAAAATTAATAAATCTATTACGTAATTAAAACATTTAAAACTTTAAAAACAAACTTAGAGACCTTTAGCAGAACCAGCAGGGACATATTCTCCCTAGCCAGTTCTTGGTGTAGGTCATCCATCAAGGTGACCAAAGCTATTTCTGTCTCATATTTGGGCCTGAAACCAGATTGAAATGGGTCTAGATAATACTACTTACATCTGTTACATTTTATTTATTTATTTATTTATTAGATTTCTATTCCACCCATCTAGACCCAAGGTCTACTCTGGGAGGTTTACAAATTTAAAAACAATAAAACCAAAAACATATAGGTCACAAATAAAATTGGGTAGTATTCAAATATTCATAAATCTGAAATGTCATATGATATAAAAATAACTAACAATATTACATTTCATATATATATAAAATCAATTTTGCAATATAGCTAGTACTTCACATATGGGATACTGACATATCACATGAATTTTCAGTATTAAGTAACATTTTCTTGCTGATTACAACTTGATCCAATATAGTTTATGGAAGCAAATAACATTTCTTTTCAAGACAGTCACATAACAGGGTTTACTGCTGCTTTGATTGAAATGGTAGGGAATTATACTCATGAAAATGAATCCCTTGTTTGTTTGTAATCTTCATAACTTCTCCATTTAATGTATCATCTTCGAGAATTCTTATTAATCCTTCAGCAATTAGAGATGGGCTATGAAAGAAGTTAGATTATAACAATCAGGTATGATTCATTACAAATATGTTAAAACATGTATTTCAGTTTCTGGGCTATTAAAAAAGGGTCAGAAACAATGAAACTACAGTCCTGTACAAAGCTAAATACACGGACACACAGTATAGCTGCTCATTCAGTTGCTTCAATACTTGCTGAAGCTGGGGATGAGGAAAAGAATTGTGCACAGTCCACAATATACTGAATCCTGTTCTACAGAGGTAGGAAACCTATAACATGTTAACAGCAAGAGGTCTCCATCAAGCCCACCTGGTTTCATACTGTCTTTTCTACCAATGAGGTCGTATTTTTGCGAAGGGTTTGCTGATAGAAGGGCTAGACCTGCCCTCCTCAATGTAGAGCCTTTCTGCAGAAGAATCATCTGTCTTTTGCTAAACACAGCTTTAACGAAAGCTTTTAATGATAGCAATATGTAAAAACTTCAAAGTAGTGCATAGAGCACAATCAAGACTCCTTGCCCCAATTCTGTGACTCTTCCTTTGCTGCAATGGAGCTTTAAAAAATGACTCAGCTGGCATCAGTGATGGATTTTTTTAAAAAGCCCCACTACAAGTGCAGAGGGATGGATATCCCTCTGTGTGAGTATGTTATTTGGACCTGAGCAGATATGTGTAGGACCAATGAGGTAGTATCACCAACTGCTCACATGTGATCCTCAATGTGGTGGCCCAGAACTAATTCAAACTTGGGGTCAAAGATGTTTCTTCATCTCTGTTGTACTGTAAGAATAGGCATATGGAGACCAAATTATTCCTTTATCTTCTAAAAACTTTTCCAGTCACTCTCAGTCTACAAGGGAAGAGAAGGCAGGTGCACTTTAAAATTTTGTATCCCTGTTTCATTGATCCTTTTAAGGATAAAGACAGGGGATAAACAAACACACAAGCAAACAATTAAAAAGAGGCATAATCAAAACACTGGTAAACCCGGCAAATAGGAACTGTGAAGCTCAATTTCTCAGCACCAAACTCAACCATCTGAATTGGGGCCTACAGGCAAATGGCTACTCCAAAAATGAAATCACAAGAACCATCAAACCAAGAAAACAACACCAAACTGAAGAAGAAAAACAGCCACCCACAAATAAAGTATTTCTGCCATACATCAAAGGGGTCATGGACTGTGTGGGGAAACTTTTGAAAAAACACAACCTACAAACAGTATTCATCCCCACCACAAGAATACAACAAATGTTACGGTCAGCAAAGGACAGAAGGGACCCTCTCACCACTGCAGGAGTATATCGGATACCTTGCAAGTGTGGCCAGGTATATATTGGAACCACAAAACGAAGCATCCACACCAGAATCAAAGAACATGAGAGACACTACAGACTAAAACAAACGGAAAAATCTGCAGTAGTAAAACGAGCTGGACATGAAATTCTATTTCAAAATACTGAAATACTGGACAACACCAGCAATCATTATGTTAGACTGCACAGGGAAGCCATTGAAATCCACAAACACCAGCAGAACTTCAACAAAAAAGAAGAAAGTTTAAAACTCAACAAAGCTTGGCTCCCAGCACTGAAAAATACAGCCTGTAAAAGGCCAACAAACTCTACCCAGCCACAAGGACCGGTGATCACTACACACAAAAGACCAGCTAACTACACCCATCAATCACAGTGACAGATAATCTCTCCTCCTAATCACAACAATACACCCACAACAAAAATACACTGATCACCATAATCACCCATCTCCTGAAAAGGACAAAAGCTGATCCAACAGCTATAAATACTCAACTCCCAAACAAACTGCACCAGAGCACAGAGTGCTACTCCTGTCCTCTGAAGATGCCAGCCACAGAGACTGGCGAAACGTTAGGATGAACAACCTTCAGAACATGATCAAAGAACCTAAAAAACCCACAACAAACAATAAATAAATGGCATCTTGCATTTGTCTCTGACTTAAGAGTCAGAAAATGTGAGATCTTCGTTTCAGAATTAGAAGATTGTAAAAGCATAATCCATTGAGAACCGCATTATTCAAAATTGCTGTGTTAACAGAATCAATTCATAGATTATGCTTGTAGTTCCTTCTCAATGAGTGATTACAAAACAAAAGGAAGCTAATTTCCAAAATGTGGATTGAGGCACACTATTACTAAGATAATCAGATGTCCTCTCATGCTCTTATCCCATACCTCTTATGGAAGCTCCACTTCTAGCTGCAAAGCTGACACATCATATAGTCACTGAGATGAAGAACAATATCTATAAAAGGTTAGTTCCTGCCTTGCTAAGCCATTACTTACAATGCAGTATGCAGACAATGGCTGGCATATAATTAATAATTACTGGATGTGTGGTCATTTCTAATATCTTAAATCATATCCATTGAGCATGGTGTAGTGAAGGTTCACTACTAGTTTTGATGAGGTGAATCTGTAGTCACATGTCAAATGTAGCCTAGTCTTGAGAGGGAGAACTGGAAGGCATGTCAGGATAGCAGCTGAGAGTCACAACTTTCTCCCCATTGCTACTTTGAAGACGTATTTAAACAATACTGTTCCCCATACATCACTGAGGATTTAAAGTGACTGCAACTACTTTCACAGCTGAGAGTAAATATCTGCTGTTTATTAACTGTCTCTCTAGTATTCAACAACTGTCCTCTCCCTTCTTTTTGCTACATTGCCTTGCAGATAAAGGTCAAAGTCCTCTTGCATAGTTATTCTGCTGGAAGTGAAATGGGATAACTTGCAGCAACAAAATGAAGTTAATTAACAAGTTCCCACTTGTTAATTGGTGGCATTGTGCCAGTGCTCCATTATCATCCTGTCTGCATTAATGAAACAAGACAAATTTTGACCAAAATCTACTTAAAAATAAAAATGGAATATCCCATCTTGAACCAGAACCACTCAAATCAAAAGCTAAATATTTACGTTTTGGAAGTTGAGAAAGTCTAAAATAGTGGAGAGAAAAAAGACAGATCTATTTAAACACACAAGCTGCTTCCTCTGGGTAGTGAACGTGCACCTGAAATTACTGGTTTGGGTTTATGATTGAGAAGAGATAAGGCACAACCAACATTCCTTCTAACTTTCTGCTAGCATTGGGTGGGGTTCTGGCTGTGATTGGATGCAAATGGGTGGCAACACTGGCTTGGTTGCATTGCACTAATGCAGCACCGTGCAGATACGTGGCCACAGAGCTTATAGGGAATGTTGGCCACAACCTATTCTGTGTGGGAGCTTAGAAATAATAAGACTCACCAGTGTTGTTAGTGAAAGAGAAGAATGTTGTCACCCCGTGTCAAACACCACAAATTTATTGTTCCATTGTGAATAGAGATACTTGGTTGATTAGGTTTCAGTTTCAAGAGACTATGCACAGTGGTGGTGAACCTTTTGGGCTCACATGCCCAAACTGGGAAAGAAAAGATGTGGCGGTGGACCCGGAACTGGAAATGGAGACACAGACCCAGAAGTGGTGGACCCGGAACCAGGAGTGGTGGGAATCCCGGCACGGAAGTGCCTCAAGACCCCTCCACTGCCAGCAGCAGTTGTTCCGGATCCGGCTGCCGAAGCACCAGCACCAGCTGCAGCCACCTCTGAGGTTTGGCTGTGCAGGA